GGGGGCGGGGAACATAGCTCCTGTATTTCCATACCCATTCGTACTACTAAGTACTTTTCACTACAACTACAACTACAACTACAACTACTACTACTACTACTACTACACCCCCCCCACCCACCCACGGGGGGGGGGCGGGGAACATAGCTCCGGTATACCCATAGCCCTAAACCTATATACCCATACCCTTTGGGGGGGGGGACCTGGGAGGCTGCATCATATATATGATATGTATATATATTTATATGAGATGTATATATGATATATATATATATATGTATATACATATAAGACATATATATATGATATGTATGTATGATATATATGTAAATATATATATATATATATATGAGATGCATACACACACATATATATATACTCACACACACATATATATAATTAATACGTATATACCTAAGGTTTACATATATGGTGTATACTTATATGGATGTTCATCTAGATTTGTTTATCGACTCTAATTTTCGGGGTGAAGGATTCTGAGGTGCAAACACTCCGCTTCTCGATGTAGCGAGCCCCAGCAATCCCCAGATGGCAATTCCAGCCACATTTTGGAGTTGCCCAGACTGAAAACCGATTGGGTATGTGAATCTCAAATTGCGTGAATGCCCCAGATGGAGAAAACATGTATATAAGGATTAAATTGAAGGAATGCTCAGACTGAAAATAGAAGGATTTTTAGTATATGAGTCTTATATAAGTTGAGTGAATGTCCAGATCGAAAATCGATTCGGTGTATGAACCTTGAACGAAGGGAATGCCTAGACTGAAAATAGTTTCGGTGTATTGTATGGACCTTGAATTAAGGGAATGCCCAAACTGAATATCTATATATGAAAATAGATCTGTATAGATTGAACTTCCAGGTTTCTGTACACATCATCAGGATTAACTCCCAGCCTTGCAGGTCAATGAAGATGGAAACAAAACATCGCCCGCACCTGTTGTCGAGGCGAGTGGGAATGCTTTGCACCCGAAAAGGCAGGACGTAGCCCATAGGCAAATCATGAAGGCTGTAGTTTCAAGAGTGCCAAGAGTTCCAAGTCAAAGTGTTTTTGTTTCTATTTTTCTGAAAAAAGGTAACCCCTAGTTTGATGGTTTATCATCATTCCCCTCCAATTATATATATATATATGGCTCCATGCACGTTTTGGGGAACCTCGAAAATGAAGTTTTTGGTGTATATATATATATTGTAACAATTTTCGGGTATACAGTATACACTCCATTGTCAGACACACACACACATCCACGAGTTAAAGGCATAAACATTTTCCGAAACCAGAAAGTAACCCAATTCGATTTCTGCTGAGACGCTGCGTTCTCTAGCAGCTTTTTGGACTCACGTGTGCTAAAGGATTTATGCATAGATGGAAGGAACTGTTGTTTTAATATGTGTTTACCAGCCAGTATGATAGCCACAGTTTTCAAACCCCTGCCAGGAACCCAAAGAGAAGCCGCAGGAAATGCCGCCAAAACAAGGTGTTTTCTTTTGGGGGGCAGTTTGAAAAGGAAAAGTTGAATCCAGATAGAACTTGTTTTTTTTGGTCATAAATAAATACATCAATAAATTAATACATTACTGGTTGGCGGTTTGGAAATGTTTGGAACATTTTTTTCCATATATTGGGAATGTCATCATCCCAACTGACTTTCATATTTTGCAGAGGGGTAGGTCAACCACCAACCAGTATATGTATATATGTATATGATATAAATAAACAGCATAAATGTAACGGTTTCCCATTGATCTTCTCTTCATCCAATTCTGGGAGAATGTTGGCAGGGACTACCAGTCGAAGTTCTTGGGTCTGGTGCCTTTCCACAGTTTATTTGCAGGAGCGTTTTACTCCTAAAGTGACTAAGTAGTCTTGGGATGAATCGGAACCATCAACCAGGCATTGATGACTGGTTCACATCTTCATTGTTGCTGATGATATGATCAAAACCGCCTGAAAATTCCTGGCAAAGCCACTATTGAGGCATCAATCGTCAATTGCTATTTCATATGTCAAAAACGAAGGTTGATACATGGCCAGGTGGGGGTGATGTTCTCTACTTTTAGGTCCAATAGCCACACATGAAGAGAGGTCATCATCCCAGGTAGCCAAGGTTTATTCCAAGCAATGGACCATCTCCCGGTGACCACTTGAGTGGTGTATCCAAAAGAAACCACTGTTTTTTGGTCCGATTTGTTGGTCAAAAAAACAACTGATGATTTTCAAACTAACAGTTTATAGCCACTGAACAAAAATCAAGAACGGTTCAGTTCTTAGAGCATTTTTTTGCAGCTTGCTAGAGATTCATCTTTCCTTCCAGATTACCAGCCCATCGTGTAAAGTGTACAGTGCTTGGCAACCGAAGGTACGATGCTTTGTTGTGTTCATGCATGTCCGCACAGTCCCTGAGACTATTCGCGTGTGAATGAACAAACTTGCTATACTATACTGGTTGGTGGTTTGTTTTTTTTTTTTATTTTTCCATATATTGGGAATGTCATCATCCCAACTGATTTTCATATTTTTCAGAGGGGTAGGTCAACCACCAACCAGCTATAGATGGCGGCAGCTCAGGCGCCGGCCATGCCGGGAAGACGCCCTTGGCGCGGCAAGCTGCCGGGGAGGATCCCTGGGCCAGTGATAGCAGCGGATCCATCGTGGTGAAGGCGAAACAGACAGCTTGGATTTTCGTGGGGAGATCTTTAAAATCCTAAATAAATAAATAAATAAATATATATATATATATATTTACACACACACATATATTTATGAGTTGATCGTTAGATTGAAGGCCGAATCGGAAACTTTCACCAGCAAATCCTGGGGATTCCTATAAACGTTCAATTGATCGTTTAGTTTGAGCCGTTCTTCTGGTGGAACATCCCAAGTTTCGGCTTGGTCATGGTCCAACCTGACCGGGGTCATCACCATTTTGGGCTCTATGGGCTCACCAGCATCCCCTGAAATGGCAGATTTATGATTGAACATTATTGGCTGGTTCCCACCTTATATGACTGTATAGACACTATATATATATAACATATATAATATATAATATTTAGATAAACACACACACATATATATATATATATACACGTATTCTCTATATATGCAGATGATCATTTCACTACCTCTGCGAGGCGACCGGAGATTCGGCCAGCTCCAGCGAGGAGGCCACGGACGGTAGCAATGAAGAAATGGGGCTTGAGCCGAGACGCCTGGATTTTCACCATACGAAATTGGGCTTTGCCAACAGAAGTTGGGGTCCAAAAAGGGCGCCATTGGCTACAAAACCTGGCTGAAAACCCAAGGTAGGCAAACTGCAAGGACCGAAAACTGTGGTTTACATGGTTCTACCGCATTGGAATATTTGACCAACCATAGCTGTGTAAGGGTACCGTGAAGTGAAAGGTTTGGTTGCTGCATCGGTTTAACGAAAAGACAGTTTGCATATCCAGCATGACATGGACGCTTTAAGTTTTAAGGATCAACATCTGGTTAAATTGACTGCTGACAGGTGGGTTAACGTGTGGATCTAAAGGTCCTTGCAAGGAGTTTTAATTGCGAAAGCCGTGCGTGTTATGTTGGAAACCCTCGCGAAAGTTTTTTTTCGAGTTCGCCGCGAAAGTTAGATATTATTCGATTATCATTGTATACATTACAGCTTGTTAAGGGCTACGACCTCCTGCCGCCCGGTGTCCGGCAGGAGAATGGTACCGCACCATAGGTAGCAGCCAAGCTTCCGAAGGTGAGGCTTCGCCACGGCTTCGCCACGGCTTCGCCACATGGTCTTGTAGCACATCCTACTGCCTAATGTTGCTTTCTGAAGTCTCAAGAAACAAGCTCCAAATGCAGCAGCCAAGTTTCCAAAAGTGAGGCTCTGCGAGAGCCAAACACCAAGGCCCCTGGTGTTTGCTTTTCCTCTGATGCGCCCCCTGCTGATGGCTGGGGTCTGCGGATAGGGGTCTTTTCGCGAAAGTTCCGCGAAAGTTCTGCGAAGCCAAAGTGCATTTTGAAGGGAGTGGCCCAGTTAGCCTTGCAAAAACTTGCCTGATCAGCAACAACCTGTCCTGAGAAGGGGATTCCGTGATGCTAGCTGCATGTTAACAAGTCTATGAAGAAGTTATCCGTGATAATTTTGTGTGATTTGGCAGGTGATGAATGAATCTTCATAAGAGGAGTTGTTGCTCAACACGGGTTCCGCGAAAGATAAACATGGAGTTCGCGAAAGATTCGCGAAAGATAATTGTTTATTCGCGAAGATTGACTGTTCCCGGATAAAGGATTTTTGATCAACCGTCATATATACATACACACTCACTATGTATATATATATGAAGGGTATCTATGAATAAGTTTGGCTATGTCTCTCCGACCAAAGCCTATAAATGATGGTCATTTTTTGGGAAAGGGCCGCATGTTTTGCCAGAACAGGTCATCACAAGTTCACCGCTGTTGCTTGATGAATTCGTTGAGTTCTACTACCTGGTTTAGTGACAATTGTCAATACAGCATCTGGGTACAAAACTGCATCATTGTTGGACTGCAATGACCCATTGGAATCCGATAGATTATGTTCTCATCTAATCAGGCGGGATTGCAACAATGGATCATTGGTGTTTATATAGAGGTTGAGAAACATACAAAACGATGCTATTGCTGATGCGCAGCTAAGAAACAGATGCGCTTACCATACATTGCCATACTAAGGCTGATTACCAGGCGCTGCCACACTCATATCGGAGCAACTTATAACATTCGAAATGAACATAGTAATTGCCCGTCACACTACTCAGTAATCCCTTTCCCTAAATATTAAATATTAGATACCTTCTAAGCCCTAACCTTTGGCATAGTAATCCATCCCCCTCATATTAAACCCCATCCAAAAAAACATGGCTTCATTAAAAAAATACACATAGGTGGGACCATATTCAGTTGGTGTTCAATATTAGGGGGATGGGATTGATCTGTTCATTGACCAGGAGGACGGTGACGATAGTCACGCCGAAGCGACGGAGGCAAAACGTTTGGTTGGTTGGAGGATTTACTAACCAACTCATACCCTTTTATATTATTAGGGGATGATCGTATTCCAACTGGGTATATATATATATTATATTACATATGATATATTATTATATACATATATTACATATTATATATTATTATATATTATTATATATTATTATATATTATTATATATTATTATATATTATTATATATTATTATATATTATTACATATTATCATATATTATTATATATATATATTATTATATGCATATTATATATTATATATATTAAATTTATATGATATATATATATGATATATATATAGATATAGATATAGATATAGATATATAGATATATAGATATATTCGGGACTATCATACTCCATGGGACTCCCTTGGTCACCAGGATTTCAGCCGTTTGGAACGCTATGGCCAAGTTCTGGGGGGCAACAGGTGATCCTTGCGCTGATCTTTTCCAACGGACCATGGGGGTTTAGCCTCTGTTATTTTGACGGTTCGCTATTGGAAATGGCCATGGAAATACGGGGTTAGTTGATTTACCTTGTTAAATAGGTGATTTTCGATTGTTAACCTGAATTCACCGGAGTGTCCAAAAAGTAGTGGAGCATCCCACCAAACCTGCTTGGCTTCCAAGGGGTGTAATTTTCCATAGCTTCCCAGACATTCGTAGTTGGCGGACATCATTGCTTGACGGCTTGCGGCAGGTGCTTCCTGAGAAAAGTGATGGCAAGGAGACGATGTGGACGATTCCACAGGTTCCACAGGTTCCGGAAAGCAGGATGGATTGCCCTTCAAGATGAAGATGCAAAGCAACTGGTGATATTTCAAGCAGCATACTGGGTTCAGTTCCAGAAATGGTTGCAATGATGTTAGTCTATTAATGGAATGCCGTCTGAACAATCAGCTGCGAGGAATTTGGGTTGCGGGGACCCTGTCCATTTGTTATTTCCTCCATGTCGATGTCAATCCAAGTCGAAGACGAAAATTGGGTGCCCTTGGGACCCCTTGGGACCCCTTGGGACCTGTTGGCCACATGAAAGTGCTGTACATCCCAGCCATTTGTGGCCTAACATCATGGGAGGCCGAGACGCCTGGAAAGGACCCGGCTTGGCATCAAAAGGTGGATGACTTGGCGCCTTGGAGTCACCATGGGTTTCACTAAACTGGTGTAATGACTGGATGATTTAGGGGGTTTCCCTTTTTTGGGAAACCGGGAAACCTCTAAATGTGTGAAATGAAGTTACTGTATTATCTTCTATAGTTTGGGGTAAACCAACCTGTTTCGTTGCATGGTAGAATCATGATGTAATCATGTGAAGTCTCCATGCTATCATGCTTGTGGTTTGCCATGTCTATCTATGTTGTTGTTCACCCCACTTAGCAAGCAACATATTATCAGATGGTGTCATATGGATTCACCCTAGTCAAGTCTTCAGTGATATATGACCTGGGTAGAAAGTAGAATGACCCAGCAAAATCACCACGAACTTCGTATGGTGGACACATGGACCATGTCCGATGGTAGGGTGCCCATAGCCAGTTTGTTTTGACCATGGCACATATGAGTTGTGATCATCGGAATGTGTTTTGGTTCTGTGCATAGGCGCACTCTGAAGAAAGTGACCTTTTTGTTCCAGGCGCATCGTGGCATCAGACTGGGCCACATCTTGGGTTTCTATCAAAGCCTTTCTGAAGGCTCGGTGAAGACCTGGGATCCCTGGGAGCCCTGGGAGCCCTAAAAGGGCCGAGCCGGTGCTGTTTGATCGACGGCAGGGCGCATGATTTTTGGATTGTTGCCTTCACGGCTTCAAAACCGTGGAGCAAGCATCTAGTAACATGGGAAGTCCCAAGCGGATTTGAGGATCCACGGTTGTATTTGATTTGGAAGGGCCGGACGATCAATGATCACCCCAAGAAACGTCGTGGATTTTCACTGGCGGAACCAGATGAACCAGCAGCCAGTGCTCCAGCCCGGGGATCTGTAACCCAGGCACCTTGCGAGGAGATGCAGGACAGAAGTTGATGTCACACTTTACTGCAGAGAAGTCGCTTGCCTGAAACTTGAGATTGCATAGGGATAGTTGGGGTACAGCTTAAAGATCTGCAAACCCACAGGTTCTGAATGATTTTGGTGATTTCAGGTATGAGACATCCTTACGAGACCATGCAATTGTGTGAAGCATCCGGAGGACGAGTCTTGACTTCTACTCTCCTAGAACCGGACATGCTTTTAAAACACGATATCATTCTTTTGAACTTTTATAGTTGTGTCATGATGACACACAAGTCGTGGCCAGTTCAACCCCAGTTGGAGCAACATCACAACAACTTCACCATACATGATGGCAAGGAAGGGAAACCATCCCAAAATATGCCCCTAACATGTTTTACTTCCACTTTGAGAACTATAGTTGATATAACTATGATATAACATTATAGTACATCATATCCATGTAATTTCAGAGATGTATATATATATACGCATACACAATTGTATATATATAGAATAACACAGCATAACTTCATATCATTTCCCCCATAGATCAAGGCACACGACCCACGATGTGGTGCGCTCCGCCATCATCCCGGTGCCCAAATCCACGCCCTTCGGAAGCTGCGCCTATGCCACCCTGGCAGAAGGCGAGCTCCTGGGTGACCTGGGTGACCTGGGTGACCTGAGTGACGTGTCTGACCCCCACGAAAAGACCAGGTGAAATATATGAGGTGTAACAGTGTAACATGGTGTTTTTCTATCTCTTTTGTGACTTAGGTAGCTTAGGTGTCTGAAAAACGAACAGAAGTGGAAGATTCAAGCTTGTTGATCTGTGGCCGCTAGAGTGTTTGAATGGGGATGTATGGGCTATCCAATGGGTGTATCAACCAATGAGATGGATATGTATATAATTACCTCACTAGTGACCACATCCCCAAAAATGAGATAAACATGTTTCTTAAGCCTGGTAGGAGCATCAATTTCACGACCTTAACCCAGCTTTTGGAATATCATAAATTGTCCAGAGTGGTTCAGTTCAGGTGCATAATCTGCACTTGGATTTGTTGCTGTTCAGTCCTGAAGTTTTTCTCCAACGTCAGTTGCTTCGTTAAGGATGCTACATCTTGCAACAACATCCCAATCTGATGGCATTATTTAAGCTTAACTCAAAAGATGTTCTTCCCAACTTTCTCACTTAGATGAGCTAGGGACTTAGTTCACTGATAAGTCGATTAGTAGGCGAATTACACATAGCCAGACTATAGTCGTTTTTTTTGGTTAATAATGGTTAATAATGGTTAATAATGGTTAATACCATGACAACCATTGGAACCATTATTAACCATTATTAACCAGCAATTAAAGTTTGTTTCCAATGACACCCATGATGCCATGGCTCACCAAGTCACCAAGGCAACGCACCCTGTCTGGCCACCGTGATGGTCTCGCACCACTGGCGTAATCTCTTCTGCCATCTGTCGGCCGCGGTGCTGGCGTACGCCTTGGGGGAGACGAGTTATGAAGCCACGGCCGAGAGCCCCTCGAAAACGTGGGACCTGGTTCGGGTGGACTGGGGATTTCAGCCCAAGAAATGAGGGATGTAAAGGATTTCAACCAAGAAACATGAGGGATATATATATATATAACATGGGGAATATGCAGAATATGACCATCAATAACAACCTATGAGCAATGGTGGTTTAAGCATAAAACATCGTGTTATGGACGAATCAAAGGTAGATGATGGATCATCCCGCCACCTGCTGGACTAGCGCGAACTTGGGGATCGACCCATGGTGACGGATTGGTTGATTTGCAACATAGGTATGGCTGATGTTTTAGCCGTTTTCAGGAAAGAATGTTTGATATCCCATTGACTGTAAATCTTCAAAATGACCCATCACCATGATCTCAGTGCATCGCTCGGGGTGTGTGCATTGGGAACTCAAGCATACTTTCAGTAAGGGCGGGCAAGGCAGGTATCTGACCCCTGGAACACATCACGATCATGCAGGATTTCACAATAGCTATATCTATCTATCTACCTGCCTGTCTGTCAGTGTGCCTATCTATCTATATATCTGTCTGTCTGTCTATCTATCTTCCATTATCTACCTACCTACTGTAGGTTACCTACCTACCTGCCTATCCATCTAGCTATCTATCAGTTTGTCTGTCTATCTGTCTATCTATCTAGCTAGCTATCTATACAATATACATAATATGGATTTACAGGGATAGACTTAGACACCCAGGCATGCTCCACTCAGTCCTCAGAGACTTGCTTCTCGCAGAGGTTTGACGAAGAAGAGCTTCGAGGAGCTCAGGCCGTGGTGGTGATGGTGGTGGTGGTGATCCAGTAATGATTGTGATACAAATGAAGATAAAGATTACTCTAATGCTGTTGCTGCTGATGATGATGATGGTGATGATGATCAAGATGATCAATATATGTTAGTTTATTAGTGGCTATGATAAGTACTAATGATGGACACCATCAGTATCATCGCTTTCATCATTAACAACATTTTAATCATTATGATCATCATTATGATCATCATTGTGATTAATCATCATCATCATCATCATCACCATCATCATCATCATCACCATCATCATCACCATCACGGTCATCGTCATCGTCATCGTCATCATGATCATGATCATGATCATCGTCGTGGTCGTCATCGTCGTTGTCCTCATCGTCATCAGGAGCAACATCATTATTAACATCAGCAGCATTTTAATCGTTGGCATTGTCATCGTCATTATTGCCATTGTCATTTCTTGCCTCATATAAATTTTGACGGTATCAATCTTTTCTGGGTGTCCAAAACCGCTTCCAAAACTTGCCGACATTGAGATAAACCTAGGGCCGTAGGGGTTGGTCATACACCATTTAGTGGAACTCTATATTTTTAATAGACAGCTATATTTTTTCAGGGTTTGTAACCTA